ACCTTGTACCTCTGCAGGCGCCGTCAATTACCTTCTGCTTCATTACAATCATTCGATATCCGTTATGGGCTACTTTTTCTTTTCTTTCTTTCTTTCTTTTTTTTTTTTTTTGCGCTCTGTATCAGTATGGCGAGGCGTTACCTTACCCTATGCAATGTATATTGCCGGTTTTTGGGCGGCAGCGAGGGGCACGAAGGAGGGCGGTTGTTGGCAAATTTCCAGTTCATGTACAGGAGTTGTACTTTTGTGCTCTGGATTTTGTCTGCTCTTCACTGTTTTGGCCTTTTTATTACCTGCCTTTTTCCTCTTTTTTTTTTTTTTTTTTTTTTTCTTTTCTTTTTGGGACCTGTATAGAAAGAACTCCGTTGGACGTTGTAGGTTTATCACTCAAAAGAATATTAGAGGGACAGAACACCCAGAAAAGAGTCTGACAGACCGACCGAGTGACTTTACATGGTGAAGACTCCAGCGTGTTTCGTGGCGGTTGCACAGTCATCACAGCGTGACGAACAACACTCAACCTCGGCATCGCCAGCCCAGCTTGTGCAGCTTAGCCCCTACATTACATACCCGCGCCCTCTCTGCCCGAGATTTTTTTTTCACGATGGAATTCATGTCCAACATCTCCGGCGTCGACGAGTCGAAGCCCTCGCTATTCGAGCTCCTATCGGAGACGCAGCTACGGGAGCTCCTGGAGCCATCGCTCCGTTACCTCCTTGCCGTCGCGACCCATCGACACCCACGATACCTGATCCGCATCCTCAATCGCTATGATGAGGTGTACGCGCTGCTCATGCTGCTGGTCGAGCGACACTACCTAAGCCGATGGGGCGGGAGCTTTACAGAGAACTTTTACGGCCTCAAAAGGGAACGGGTTATTGCCGCGCAGGTGCCGCGCGCGCAGAGGGTTGTCCCCGGCCTCGTCGCGGAAAGCACGAAATTGAAAAAGGCCGACGTGTGGAAAAGCCTATTTGTCATTGTGGGTGATATTCGGCGACCTTATGGGGGCTGGGCTGATGTGGCCAGGTCGGTGTGCCGTACCTTAAGCGCAGACTCGACGATGCTTATGAGAACTTTGCTGGCGGCGCGGCTGCGAATATGTTGGGTGCGGGCTACCGCCGCGATGATCTCCCCGAGGACGTACGTGTTTTCCGTACGCGTAATCTCCCCTATCGCGACGCTGATGTGCTGCGCATAGGCAACCCCGAAACAAAAGTTCATCTACTATCTGAAAGCCTTTATTCGCACGGTGTATCCGTACATCAACGCAGCTTTCTATTGGTCGAATCTCATCTTCAACCTCGCCTATCTCTTTGACAAAAGCCAGTACCACAGTCCTTTGGACTTCTTGATCGGCGTCCGCATGCGACGGTTGACCGAAGCTGATCATGTTTGTCTCCCCTCATGCAACTCTCGCCAAGCATCCCTACTGACAACATGCAACAGCGGGCGTTTGAACTTGCGGCAGCTCCAAAACCGTCTTCTAATGCACCGTTCACTATGCGCTCCCTACTCACCCCGTCAATAATCTCCCGGATCATCATTCCCAAAATGCTAGATTCCCTCAAAGTGCTGCTTCCCACATCCATTTTCTTCCTGAAATTCCTTGAGTGGTGGCACGCCTCGGATTTCGCGAGACAACTGTCCGCCAAGACGGCGGCCAGCATTGAGTTGCCGCCACCGATCCCTGTGCGGCCCCCTGCACCGGAGGAGGAGCTGGAGGAAGAGGGGGTGATGAAGGCGCTTGTCAAGGTTGTTGAGGAAGATACCGGGTTGTGTCCCGTGTGCGAGAGGGAGATTACGAACCCCACCGCTGTGCAGACGGGTTACGTATTCTGCTATCCGTGTGTTTTCCGATGGGTGCAGGATGGCATAGGGAGAGATGGGGATGAGGAAGGCGCAGAGAATAGAAAGGGTCGCTGTCCAGTCACCGGGGTAAGGTTGCTTGGTGGCGCGGAGGGGTTAAGGAGGTTGATGATCTAGGTGTGGTTTTTGGGGAATGTCGGGAATTGGTTTATACCGGTGATCTACTAGAGATTAGACGTGTAGGTAATGGGACGAGGGAAGGCATTTCAATGTTCGGAGTTGGTTATCATCGTTTAGGTACAACTGAAATTGGCATTTTGGCACGCGCATCAGGGTCGCGGCTCGGCCCGTTCTTGCGTATCTTAACCACAACCACCACCTGCCATGTTCGAGAGATACCGCGCCAGTTTCTAGAATGTCACACAACCCCGCACCCCAGCCCCACCGCTCCTGCATCCTCGTCCGCACTCCGCTCGCTACGCTAATCGACCTCCCGCTATCCCTCTCCTCGCCGCCCGGTCAAATCACCCGCTCAACCACCCCTCTCGCCCACCCGTTTCCGGCGCCTAAAACCACCGTCTCCCCGGCAAATGACGAAGAAGCAGACCTCATCGCGCGCATTGAAGCTGCACTTGCCTCACTGCGCTCCATAGACGCGGCAATATCTTGGCACCATCCCCGCCGCCACACCTCGCCGCCGCCGGCCGAGGAACTCGACTACCGCGGCAGCGGCGCACTACTTTCTAGCACATCGGGGTACACACCTGATATTGAGCAAGAGCCGATACTCCTGTCCGCCTCCGCAGAAGAAGAAAACTTTTCCGATCTTTCGGAACTGTATCTCGTGCCCATCGTCAACTGCTCCCAGGACCGCTGGGTACGGCTTCGCATACTGCATCCCGCGCCGGCAAAGGTGTTTTGTGTACCCCCGAACTCGGGGTTTACGCTTGGTCCGCTTTCCACTCGGCTGCTCGTCGGACAGGGAGAGGTTGACTTTTTAATACTTGACCCCCCGTGGCCAAATGCTTCTGCAAAACGGAAACGCGGGTATAGAACTGAGAACCGCTTTGCGATTTGGGGGCTGCTGAGCGAGTTGCGCGTTGGCGAGGTGGTGAAGGCCGGTGGCGTCGTTGCGGTTTGGGTCACTAATAAGAAAGGCATTTGGGAGGGTGTGGAACAGTGGTTGAAGGAGTGTGGATGTATTATTGAGGCGACGTGGTGGTGGGTTAAGGTTACGGGGACTGGGGATCCGGTGGTGCCGTTGACGGGAGGCGTGGGTGGACGGAAAGCCTGGGAGGCGTTGGTTTTTGCTCGGAGAGGGGACAGTGTGGAGGTAAGAGGAGAGAAGCGGTTTGAGGATAGGATTCTTGTTAGTGTGCCAGATCTGCACTCTAGGAAACCAGGCGTGAAGGAGTTGGTGGAGGAGTATTTGCCTGTGGGGTATAAGGGGGCTGAGGTCTTTGGGAGGGGACTCACCGAGGGATGGGTTACGTTTGGCGATGAGTGCTTGAAATGGAATTGGGAGGGGTGGTGGGTTAGTGAGGAGGTGGAGGACGGCGCTTGAAGTGCTAGTCTACGCCTCAATCATTCTCGCGAAAGTCCTGCGTAAGACCAGCTCTCCAATATTCTGGGCTTGGACGGTGATGTTCGAGTGAGCTACTGTGAGCCGGCCTAACATTGCACCAGTAGCAGTGCTTCGTCATGTCAATGACGGCTTCAAAGGATCAGATACAGACAACTGGCACAGCACACTTCTGCGTAGCTGGGGTTGTAATGCTTTGTTTTCTTTTCCGGCTTTTATGCCTTGCACTCCGTGTATCGCTCCGTACCCCGTCATATATCTACCATACCAACAAAACGCCGCCATGGATTCGCGAAGACCTTAAGATCAGGATACGTGAGTCCCTAGTAGCCATGCCCGCACTGTTATTCGTGGTCGCTTCGGGAGTTCACGCCTGACTATTTGGCCCGACAGCATTGGGTTGGTGATTTAAAACATATGCCCTTTGGGCCGTACCAGGCCGCAATTCCCCAGCTCAAAAAAGACCATAAGGAGGGAAACGAACGCCGCTCTGCAAGCCAGAAGCGTCTGAAAGCCGTGTGGCTTTCAGCCGAGGAGCACTGCAGACCTTGCGCGGAGAGAAGCCAGGACGGCCCAAGCAGTTGGGTGTCCTTAAGGCCTGATTAGAAGGCATTTCGGCGGCTAGCTTGCTGCTGGGGATGAACTGGGTGGTCAGCTTGTGAATCGCAACCTATCGCTTCGTGACATCGTTTTGGAGGGATTCTGCCCGAGCAGGTTGAGTCCATAAAGGGAATAAAGGGAACTAGTGTCCTTTCCGTTGTGACTGGATGGCGACCGAAAAAAAAATTTGTTTTTTTTTTTTTTTTGTTGTGGGTGTCGTATGGTTAGTTCCATGTCCATTGTCGCACATCTGAGACAAATGTTGGCTTGGAAATGGGATCGACGGTGCTACACAAACATTGAAGTCGAAATAAGGTGTGGCTGCCGCAGTTAGCGCGAAGAACGATGCCTCGGGAGCCGCGCGTGATCGGCAAGCCACTCAACAAAGTGCTTACAGCCTGACCAGATCATACATATAGGGAGCTGTCTAGGGCTCCCACCACAAAACCCGGCCCCCGCCTGATTTTTCAGCGAGTGAGATTCCGTGACCGAATCGCCCGATGCTGGGATTTACGGAAAGTCGTCAATCCTTCCGCCTCAGGCTATGCAGATTGTAGGGCTTAGTCTGGGGTGATGATAGATGCTTTAATCTGGTGGTATTTAGTGAGTAGTCATCGTTTGCGATGGTAGCTACCCTTGTAAAAAAGGGGGGGTAATGGAAACGTTTATGTAATGTTTTATTGTGGTTTCTATTCTGTAGACGTCGCTGTGGCGTTTTTGAACCATTTTTTGACCGTTGGCAAACACGGCGTAAACGTTTGCAGAATAAAAACCACAATGAAACAATAAAACATTACATAAACGTTTCCATTACCCCCCCCTTTTCTACAAGGGTAGTGAATTGTTTTTTTTTTTTTTTTTTTTTTTTGTTTTTTTTCCGTGAGCCGTCCTTGGAGAATCATTCCGCTCTTGGGCTTGTCAAGTTCATCCTCAGACTGCTCTCCTTTAGGTTTCCCAGGCATGGAATAGGTTCCAGGAACCTTCCCTTCACCGCAGGGAGGCCGCAACAACATCCCCCGTGGCGCAATTGGCTAGCGCGTCTGACTGTTAAGATTGGCTCACGATCCAATCGTGCGGCATCAGGAGGTTGGTGGTTCAAGCCCACCCGGAGGAGTTTGTTCTTGTTCCTGTTCTGGCTTTTTTTTTTCTTTTTTTTTTCGTCTTTTCGATGCTGCTTGCTGTCGGCGGATCATTTGTAGGAGTGCTGCTTTACTGGGGTTCCGGTGAGAAGAAGGATCTAATCAGTGATCATCCCGGAGATTGCGTGATGGAGATGCGTATGTTGGCGGTGTGATTTCGATCCTTAATTCTTTGGTTGCCGTCCTTGGTGGCCTCATATGGTACTGGTGTGGCTGTGGACCCACGGCCGTAGCCGGGGACGGAGACAGCCAAGGTAAGTACTCGAAGGTGGGCCTGCGATGAGAGTTGAACTGAGAACGATACACAGCCCTCCCCCGGACCCGTTTTTATAATTATGAGGTGTGTTTCCCAGGTAAATAAACAGCCAAAAAGTATTTTGTACGTACTCAAGGCTCAAGATATCCCAGCGATCAGGTGTCATCCAGTGGCTACGGAAATGAATGAAAATTATACTTGGTGTATGTTACAAAACAAGTGAACACCCGTGTGGTGACCACACGGTGTGCAGTCATTAGTACAGCGCCACTTAATGTAAAGTCATATGTACGTTGCAGTCAGGGCGTCCGTGTGTGAGACGCAGCGCAGTTGCTTTCATTCTGTGAAAAAAAAAAAAAAGCCAGATCAAATGAAGACTCCGTCATCGCGCGAAAAAAAGCTGTCAGCCACAGTGCAGTTGCAAAAAAAAAACAAATTGCGAACATCCCAACTCATCCCATTCAGCAAAAAAAGCCTCATCAATTCTCAAATACCTCCCTGAATACCACTATAACTGCCCATGACTAAACACCTCCTCTCGAATGTTAATACTCCAGGTTTCCCGAAAGAAAACTCTGTAATGGCAAGCCCAGAGCGACCGCAGTTTCTGCAGTGCGCAGTTTCATCCACAGACAGACTCGGAAGGGGTGCAGTATGCTCCCATTGTTGATCCATAGCCAATGCATCATCCGTGACGTCTCTCACATCATGTTCTTGAAACAGTGGCTTATTATCTTATCTGCTCCCACTCCTTGTAGTGTTCCAACTCTCCGTCATTGCCTGGGCTGTCGTTTAACTTCCATCTAAAGAACACCATTAGCCTTGATATTTCTCCCCCGCATGAGAATTTAGAGCTAGCCACTGACCGGCTCATGTTGACCATGATTTGCGAAGTAGTAAAGGGAGGAGGTAGTGGGTTGGGGTCTAGGAGGCGAGACCGTCTCACTTGATAGCCAGCACTCGCACGGATAAAGACAATTCTATTCGATTCCACAACTATCAGTGTGTACAGCAGCGTAGTCGCTCCGCAGTGTCGTCGCTAAAGCTCCTCAACGGCTGCGCTCCAGAATAGTAGAGCTGGACAGTCGCTCCGCAGTGGCGTCGCTGAAGCTTCACCCCGGAATAGTAGAGCTGGACAGTCGCTCCGCAGTGTCGTCGCTGAAGCTCCTCCACGGCTGCACTCCAGAATAGTAGAGCTGGACAGTCGCTCCGCAGTGTCGTCGCTAAAGCTCCTCCACGGCTCCGCTCCAAAATATCAGGGTTGCACAGTCGCTCCGCTCCACAATATTAGGGTTGCGCCACCGGGTTGAGTTGAGCCTCCGGTAAACGCCACCGGAAAACGCCACACCACTGCTCTATATAGGGAAATATGTCACTCTTAGAAGTCGTGATGATGGAATCTATTGTAATTGAAAAGGGAAGGATAGATAGATGTCGCGACCAGCACGATGATTTGCCACCTGCCGCCCGCGCGGTTCATACATCGCCAGAAACAGAAAAAAACAAGGAAAACAGGATGCAACTGGCTTGCTCGATACCAAAATTTATACATACGTGCCTGGTCAACAGTGCACTAGTGCTGCGCTCCCAACACCAAGAATTACCACCGATTGGCTCCAGGCCCTGCCCCATTTTCGATAATTCGCTCCTGACTTGTTGTCCTTGACCCGCTCTCTCGTTCCTCATGCTCAGGCTCTGCTGCCACGAGGGTGATATCCAGGTTTCCGTACGGACTCTTCGCCTTCGAAAGCTTCGACATTTTGACCTCGGTGGATCGTAGACCATTACCACTACCCGCTTGTGGGCCGGTATCATTGATTTTTCCGGAATAGCCGGTAGCGGAGCGGCCGCTCCTGGAAAAGAGGCGTCGAATACCAGGAAGCAGACGGAGGGAAGGGAGAGAGCCGGTGATCAGACCGGTGTGGAACTCAACGTTCATCATGATGAGACCGCCGCACGAAGTGTAGGTGAAGTCGGTGGTATCTTTTGTGCCGGCAATATTGGTGGAAAGCCGAACGATCGAGATCACCGTGGCGATCAATCCTGGAAACACACATCTTCCGTCAGTACATTTGTTGGGTTGCACACGCAAAACCATGGTGGGGGAAAACACAAGACGACGAACCGAGACCAAACATCACCATAAGCTCCATCTTCTTGCGATAGGGCAGCTTCAATTCCCACAGATCCCACATCGGCAGCAACATGATCGCCACGTCGGACAATGACATGATGACACCCTCGTAGATGACGAAACACCACAGCTTGTAGGCGCTCCAGCACTTGGCGTCCTTTATGGTCTTGTCCCAACCCGCCTGCACGGGATCGCACGAAAACGTTGTCGCCATCTCACTGCTGATGGTGAAGGCGACCAAGAAGGCGATCATGTATTTTGCGTTTCTTTGAAGCCGCTTGCCAGGAAATATGCGCATCAGGAAGACCAACAGACTAGTCTTGACGAAGAAAGCGACATAGATGTACGAAGAAACGGCGGCATAGTAGCACTACTCCGACAACCTAGGTGAGTTGAACGGTCCAATAAAATTCCGGTTGTTGAGTTCTCCGTACCTTGAACCAGACCGCGACCTGCTCTGGCGGTACGTCCCACAGATGCCGTCCTGAACCATTTTCGCTGATGAAGAACCCAAGAAGGGCAAAGCCCAAGCACATAATCTGAGGCGGTCCCAATCGAGATCAGCATCAGCAACCACAATATATTAGGATGTTGCATGTTGAAGTGGAGCGTACCAGTGCGATGATGACCATCACATCGTCCAATCCGAAATTCTTCACTATGAAGATCCTAACATACAGCTTGCAGAAGGGTAAACATGTCAGCGGATGTTCTTGGTTCCGTGGCCGGCGGTAGCTGCGGGTGAAAGTGGACATGAAGGAGCAACCTACTCTGGAGCCACACACCGACAACGACAACCCTGCCATGAGCCCAAGGACGCCTCGGGTCAACCCGACCATGTTGTTGTGTGGTAAAGCCGCGGTATCGGTGACATTGATGGCCTCTCGCTGTACGAGGAGTTTCAACTGGTGTTCTGGAATCATGGTTGGCTCGTTGCGGTGGTATCCTCTTTTCGTTCCCGCATACACCTGATCGCAATCAGCAGCAATTCGGAGGAACAGACCTCAGGGCATCCGCTCTTTTATCGGTCGTGTCCTGGAGCAGGATCCCCTTGGGTCCTCCGCAAAACGCTTGCCAATATGCGTCTAACTCGAAAAAGCCTTTTTTTCTTTTTCTTCGGCCATAGTGCGGATGAAGAAGCTGTTACCAGGCCATGCTCTTTTTTGGTGCCGGGATAATACTGCTCTAAGATAATTGATGTGGTCCTGGGCGAGGCGTACTTTTGCCGGTGGGGGGTTCCCGCAAAACTGCCACTGCCGAGCCTGTCAGATGTGTCTTCAATTTCAGGAAGCCCGAGCACCTGGTTCATCTCTTCTATCGTCTAGGAAAAGCTTATCACAGGATGGAGTGGTACATTTGATACATTCCGTGTAGGAACCGCCAACACGAAATGTACATGGCTAAGGTAGGTAGGCAGAGCGAGTACGCATACCTGTGATGATAAGCCGCGGCACATGGATGACGGTATTTGGCACAGCTGAAAACGCACAACGCTCACGACTCTCTGGAGATTCTGGCCGTAAAGTTGGAAGATCAAATACCCCCACGTTTCCCCATAGCCATCCTTTCTTTGCAGGCATCATACATATTCCTATCCCCTAAGCGGCTCGACAGCAGCAAGCAAAAACGACCCGCGATGCCGTCTCCCGCACCGGTGAGCACGTTAATTAGACGGGTCTGCAGACTGGTGGCCGCCTGCAGGTCTCACGGCCTTCACCGAAGCACCCAGCGACCTGGTCCGGAAAGGAGAGAAAGGAATTGCGTTTTGTGCCAGACACAGCAGAATGCTGTGCTGGAGAAGATTGCGCCTGTTTTTCGATGTCTGAGGATTTTCCCGGCCATCACGATTCAACTGGAGGCGGGTTAGCCAGTGCCCTCAGCAGCCAGCCCAAAAGCCCTGGCTGCAGGGCTGGCTGTGGGGATGGACTCAGCCGGGCTACGAAGCCGAGCAACACGGCTGGTGCAGCCCACAGCCAGCCGAGTTGAAAAGCCAAACGCAGCCCAGCCCGGCTCGCTAGCTAGCGGTTGGCGCTTCGCTACTGTCCATTGCTTCAAGCCTGCTACTATTGCCGGCTTTCCGCTCGGCGGCGGACAGCAAGGATGCCGGCTTGCGTTCTTCCCTCGGAAGAGTTGCAGCAGAGTGTTGAAAAATTGCAAAAGTTAACGAATCCGCTTGAGAAGCGGTTTACTATGTTCACCAAAAAGCTTTTTCCGGCCTTCTTTGACTGCGAGCTAAAGGACTGAGTGAACGCCACTCCTGAGATGAAGATAGGACGGTTAGTTCCCGCATTGGTGCCTGTCACCCTCGGTCGAGCTAAAGAAGCAACATTGGACGTACTAAGTATGTGAAGTGGCTCGGCCAGGTTAGGAGAAGATAGGGAGGAGGGACCGGACATAGCGAGGGGCGATTATGGCGCCTAATCGAGACGAACCCCATGCGGCGAGACGAGAGCGCTTTCGAGCTTTTGAGGCATGTACTTTGTCACCTTCTGCAGACAGAAGAAATGAAATGCGTATCATCATCAGGCCTGTCTAGCCATCGTGCCAGCAAGAGCCGGGACACGTCCAATCCGGACCGTAAATTA